AAGTGTCTTTCATTAAATACATCGATATCTTCCGGAAATCTTAATTGTTCTGAATGAGCAACCTTTTCCCCAATAAAGCCTCGCCTGTAAAACGCTTGTACTACACAATTTCGGCTAACAATTATTCCTTCGTAAATTATAAAAAAGTTTTAAATTAGATCCATAAGTATTTATTGAAAACTTAGAAAGATTGCATCGGTTGAACGAACAAGAAAATTGCGGTTTTTCATAGTTGGCATCTTAGCACACTCAATTTCTCTCAAATGCTTGGCATTTTGCCGAAACGAGAGCATAGTTTGCATATCGATGAGAAAATCGGTTAAACTTGTCTTTTATATATACATTTTTAAACAAAGAAAATTTACTGAAAGAAGACCAAATAATTACATTCATTTTAATCGAGTAAAATAGTTGAGTCGTAACTTTATTTTGAGTTTAAACTAAGGCGACAACACTGTATCATATAATTATTACTGTTTCGTTTTTACTGTGAACTGCAATATTTATATTTGCTTCTTGAAACTGATTTATGCTATCGAAATGTAAATCAATTTAATTTATGCTACTGAAGTAAAATAATAAAATTTAGCCCATATTTTTAATGTGATTTTATTGGCTCCGATGCAAACCTCTACAACAGATTGAGGCTCAAATTGAATTTTCTGCCAAACGCCTGGTATTAAACATGAAACACACCAGGTCATTAGCGGTGGCCACTCGGATCACAATGTTGGCAACATTAAAGTTCAACAATTTTCCAACAAGGGGAAATATGGGCGTGACTAATTTACCCGTTCTTAATGATAAATATATATAAAGAAATTATTATTTAATTGACCAGAAAAGCTGGAAGAAGTCAGCGGTGTATTGAGCTCAGTTATATATAATTGTACAAAATATTACTTTAAAGATAATAATATGTGATTAAATACATTTTTTATTATTGAATTGGATTTCCTAAAATGTTTGTGCCTTTTTCCGAATTTATATGTTGTCGTCCGGCGATGAATCTCATATGATCATCTCATATATATCTGGATATTTTCATTTTCCAGAATTCTTTGGGATCACAAAGCTCCGCAATATTTGCCCCGGACTCAATTACACCAAGATGGGGTCCGCTGAAGCTTTTTATTTCAAGAAAGCCATTATCTTAAGGAGCAACTTAGTTTTTTTACAAAGAGACGCATGCTCTCGGACGTCGAGATCCAAAATTAAGTGCTTCTTAAAATGAAACGCCTCTCTTGTCTCGTGCAGCTTATTTCAATTTTTCATTAAAAGAAAAACTATGTGCATTTATAGTTGAGTGAATAAGCTCTTGAATGCTATACCGTTTGTATGCAATTATGTTTTGAATAAAATTATTCGTAGAATAACGATTAAAAAGTGCGGAAAAGCAGTTTGATCTTTTTGTCTACCTGAGACAATAACATTCTTCTCCAAAAAGTTCTAGTTTTTTCTAGTTGCCTATCAAATCGTAACCAATATTTTAAATACGGACAATTTATCTTGCCGCCATATCCAACAAGTTTTGGTATAAGCCAGGGTTCAAATCCAGAAGCGTTACTGTTTTTGTTTATTAATAACTCTTACGAGCTTCTTTTCGTATACTCTTCGAACATCTTGATGGCGACTCACTAGAACTTCGTCGGTATTTAGCTTGATCAAAATTAGTTTGAATGAATAAGGAGACGGCAACCACATACTTGCCGCGAGAGATTATGAGATAGTACAGCGTCAACAGGCTTCTTTTTTCTTGCTTGCTCTCGCTGTTTAATAGTTTTCTCGACGCTTCGCGGACGAGCTACCTATTTGTGAAGCGTCCTTACCACAGAAAGAAATCACTTAGTAAAACATTATTTTTAAAGTCAGTATATATAGCCTCGTAAAATAAGATAAATTGTCATAGAAATAATAATAATATAAGCATTTTAGTAGAAAACCATAAAACTCGAATTACCTTTTAAGTTACTAGCAAATTATGAAGCAAACTGTTATGATAGTCATCGCAAGTTTCACAGTGCTCCCGCAAAGAGCACTTGCCACATACGCCACGCGACATTAAGCCCACTTACGCCGAATAAAGAATAAAACAATTTTATATCAAAAGTACGAGCAGTCACTTGCTGTATTAATGCAAGCTGCTCAGACAACATAAGGGCTTTCTTTTACTCGATATTGCAGAAGCCCGTCAACCTTATTTGTCTCCAATCTTTGAATGGCGCAGCTAAAGAAAGGAACGATGCTTGGATCTCGGTGTCTTTTGAATATCTGACTTCAAAAGAAATCTTAATTTTGTTTTGCAACCTGTGCTCAATTAATGGAACAAACATTACTTTTATGTTTAACAACATTATTTGAGTTATTAAATTTTTTCCTCATTTAACGGAATTTCTGTTGGGATTTTTATATTTCCATGCGTAAAGGAACTTGCTGGAATTCGATTAATTCAACATTTATTTGTTTTATTATGATAGACATTCGTTTAAATATGTTGTAAATACAAAACTACCGTCAAAACTCAAAACCTAGTCTTCAAATTCAGTCTTCATTGAAATACAAAGAATTGAATCCACGTTTCGCCTCAGATAAAATGACGAGCAGCTCGTTATGAAATCTTTTATCCTCAATTTAGCAGCATAAAATTTTGAAATAGGTTGAATGTCCGGAGCTCGCCTAAAACAATCATCGGCCGCAGCACGAAACGTGTACCTACATGATAAAAACGTGTACAATGTGAAAACGGGAATAACATGACGTGAAAAGAACTAAAGCAGATAGCTGCAATCTTCCGGCTCGACCGAAACTAGGTATTGTCTATAAAATGTTATTTGTGAAACATTTGGTGAACACGAAACAAAGAGATTTTTGCTCTATATTATATAGCAGTTAGTGGCGAAGACCAACAATGTTCTGATCATTCTACCATTATTATTTATGTATTTATTATCGTTTGTCATTTTTGTGATATAAAAACGTTGGCGAAACATTTCCTCGTTCACAGTTTTCTCGTGCGGCAGTCCAATAATTGCAATAATAGGCAATAATTTGCGTAATCTTATAAGATTACGTTATGATGAGAGATAATGTATAAATATAAAGAAAGAAGTGAGTGCGAACAAAGTACAATGTCAGAAGTGAAACTTCTTTGGCAAACTAATTTTTAACTCTTGTTCATATTTATAGAAATCTAAAACTTTAGTTTTCCGAGACTTAGAGGGAGGCATATAAACACGTTGCATTTTAATTAACAATTCGTCATTTGAGATTTCAATAAATTATTTTGCATAAAATATAAAATACTAATATTTCATAAATTCTCTTTTGTTACGAATTAACGAAATGTTAATTTTAAAAATATAAATAGAATTTCTATAAGGTTGTTCACAGTTCTCACTCTTTCTCAATCGGTCTCAATCGCTCTCTCCCTTTTCTTCGACAAAAACGCTGCACATCTTTGTGACGTTCCGTAAAAATTTTACCCTCATGCGCCTAAAGAGGTTTCACTTCAAAAACACAGAAAAGGTCTGAGTAAAAGTTACACGACTCCGTTAGCAATAACATATGTTTAATCAATCCATCATCAGAGTAGCGTTCTCTTATCACATACCTTGACAACACCACCAATAAACATCCATATTTTAGTTTCATTTAAACAAAAAATACGACATAAATTAAATACATAGATAGCTTGAAATGTGGAAGGCTTCAACTATACTAAACTAAGGTCTTGTGTTATACTTTTTCTTTTCTTTAAAGCAATATTATAAAGAAGGCTTGTCAGTTGGTTACATAAGCGAGGGTTCAAAGAAATGCTTTGTTCTGTGACGTATAGCATAATGAACAGCAGAAAGGTGCACCACAAAAAGGATGAAGTGAGTGTATGTATTTAGTAGGCTTACTCACACAAACAATAATTGATGGATTCAATTTTAGAAGGTGGAGCGTTTATGGCAATTTTAAATAATGCAACACCTGACATAATTGTTCACGCTTTCATAAAGAGTAAAACGTCCGCTCATCTATTAAATAAAAGTATGAAATGTGGATGTTATTGGGTCACAAGTAAATATCGCAGATCATCAAGATTATTGAATGGCTCATATTTCTACACAGTTCAGTAAACGCTCCATTCGTTTACTCTCATAAATGCAGCGTCATCGTTCGTGAGGATTTTGAAAATAAGATACCTTTGGAAAGTTATCCCATTTCAGAGGAACACTTTACGAGGGGCCGACAAATCTTCGATGGCTTCGTTTGTTGATCGAAATGGCCGACTCTTGTCCCTTACTCCGTTATCTATTTGTTCTTATGTTCACTTAAGCAATAGTTTCCTCTTTACAAACTGGTTCGCTGGTCGTATAAATCCTGGTTTCTCATCATCCGAGATTTATGCACTGGATATTCAATCAACTAGATTTATTAATTTTTGTTTCTTCGTTCTTTCCTTACCTCAATCATGAACATAAATGTAATAATACTGACGTGATTATATTAACCAGCCATTGAAATTACTTAAAATGTATTTTTCAACTAACGTCGGGTAAACAAACTGTACTTATTACTATGTACTGATTAGATCAAAGACAATACTATGTACTTATTCTGTTTAGTTGTTTAACTGCAAAAAATGATCGCCTCATTCGGATACCGTACATAGTACACACAGAATCATAACAGAGAAAAAAAATTATATTCATTTATATTTTTATTGTATTAAAAGAGTATCACAGTACAAATATAATAAATTACCATAAACATTAATCAGCAAAATTATAAATCCTTTGTTTAATAGATTACATATTATATAAGCAATAAATATTATGATTTAATTAAATAGTAAAATGTGAGTTATTTTACAGTCAGTAGGTGACGATATTTAACTACGAGTAGGTCTATTTTGAATGTATTTCTCAGAATTGTCAAAACATCTTACCTTCTAATCATTGGTAGGTAGGCATGAGGTAAAATTAGGATAAAAACCTAACCCACAACTTTAACTATAACTGCGTGTCACTAACGTTACCGACTTGAGTGACGGAAGATAATCCTGCGAAAAAATAATGTTTTTATCATAATTGCATAAACATTTCGTTGCCAATAAAATAAGTGAAAAACGATGTGTGTGTTAAAACGTGAATATTTATGTTACTTCTATTGTACAGTAAACAGACAAACAGGAGTGCTCTTACCCCATGTTCCTATTCCATAAAACATGAAATAAGTTATAATTCTCCTTTGAAGAATTGAGATGTATTAAGAGATGAGTACTATTCACCTATTAGTACAGCTGATAACTGATCGTGCGAGCAGAACAAGGGATTGTGAATGGCAGCCTCCAGCTGCTCTCTGACTTTGGGCTGAGCTCCGCACCAGATAACGTGGCCATCACGGGACCATTCTTCTACCATCATATTCATGCTCTGCAAGTTTATTTACTATACTATTATTTAATTGCAAAAATCATCAGTTATTTCAGCTTGATTAAGAAAACACTTTGCCATAACTGTATTAAACAGAATCAAACGATGAAAAATACAACAGAAATATTATATGTATATTATAATTATTACATCAAAAATATAAGAAAATTGATTAAAAGAGATTTATGAAAGGAAAACTGATGAATTGTGTAGTGCGGGGAAGAGCTTTTATTTATTGTATGACATCACGATTCAAAATAATTTCCGATAAATAAAAAACTTGAACCGAATGAATGAATGAAAATTGAATTCGTCAAAATTGCAGCGATGTTAAGTCAAACCACTTTCAACCAAATAAAGGTCTTATAAGAGATGCTGTATAAAATTGTTGGTAAAGAATAAATAACAAACACTTTGACTCGGAACCGCGGCGACTCAGTAATATTACGCTCTTCCTTCCGAGACGAGGACGATCATCTCTCACATTTGACTCTTTATCAGAAGTTTCTCGTATTATTCCTTTTACATTATATCCACTTCATACATTGTTGACAAACATTTGCTTTAAATGTTATACTAATTTTATACGCGGATTTATCGTATACAACATTTTAACATCATTTAAATCCAGCAGACTGTTGTTTAGGATAACATTATATTTGCGAATTAATTACCTAATGGTAAGGTAATTAATATGGTGGTGAAGATGGTTGTTTTTATTTTGATTGATGAAGTTATTCGTAATTTAATATGTTATAGGTGAATATTAAACTAAACATTTCGCCTGTCGCATATCGCCATTACTGCAAAAACTCTCAATTATAATTATACATTTTATAGAGTATACGTAATATACTCTGTCATTCACAACGTGCACGCACTGAGGAAACTTTAATATAAACTTACACCGAAACGAGCAGATTAACGATACAATTTTACCTGTAGGAATGTGTAGTCGAGGCGGCTGAGTGCGTCGCAATAAACGATGAGTAAGTTGGGCGGTAGTTTGGGCGGCTCCGGCCCAGCGCCACCGTTTGTCAATATGGCATCGGGCGTGACGACCTCCACTCTAGTTATCTTTGTCTGTCGGCCGACATTAAGAGCCATTAACTCTGATCGAACTCTTTCAGCACTCGCGAAGTGTAAACCGCCAACAGGATGCATCTGGTAGTGAGGTGGAAGCGACCCTTCCTGAAATTATCCAATATAAATAATATTATTTTTACCGTTGAACCTAAGATGATATACGGCGTCTCCTTGTGCAACCGACTCACTTGGACGTATCGCAGTTGGAGCCGCGGACGCGACTGATAGTAGAGCAGCAGCAACACGTCTACGGCTACTCCACATCCCAGACCCACCTCGATCCCTAGCACCAGGCAGCTCACGAAGGTGCTCGTTAATGGAAGCAAGTCTAGCTCTGCATCAAACAGTTTTTATAAGACACGAATGAAAACGCTGTCTAAATCTCTATATATATAAAATTCTCGGGTCACAATGTTCGTTTCGATACTCCTCCGAAACGGCTCGACCGATTCTTATGAATTTTTTATGCATATTCAGAAAGTCTGAGAATTGGCTACTATCTATCTTTCAAACCCCTAAGTGATAAGGGGTGTCCAACCTAAATAAATATTTTTACTTAGAAATAATATACATTGCAAAACAACGTTTGCCGGGTCAGCTAGTATGATATAAGTTTCTCATTTAGATTGAAATTTGAGTTAATATTTTACAAAATAATGCAGTAAAGAATAACGAACAACAAAACGTCCGTTCACGTTTTATACCTGACATTGCCACACCATAACGGCGTAAAAGCCCGAATATTTTTCAAAGTAACCACTAATGGTTAAATGTAACTGCTAAATTAAAAATCTTTACACATAATAAAACATATGTATACATAGTATTGTCTTTTGTTGACATAACTTTTACACATTTAAAGGAAACAATTTTTTACCGGATTGAATGATTATGTAAAATAATTGTAAATTTTTAATACATAACTTCAATCCGGTAAAAAATTGTTTCCTTTAAATATGTATACAATATACATGTTAGAAACTCCTCCGCCTCCTATTAGTTAATGCATAGATATATCAAAAGTGCTGATATACGTAATGTCACATTACATTCGAGAGTGAAAACCAATATTTCTTTGAGGGTGGACCTTAATGACTTATATTTCAGTAAACTGAATTCTCAATCATGTTTGATCAAATACAGAATATTAATTATTAAATCGAAATCCCATAACTCCGTACAACTTGCAGAAGGACTAGTGAGGAAAGTTCGTAGTGCAAACAATGGGAAACTTCGCTCGAGGGCTGCAGCTCGTGTCGGTATGAATACGTTTAAATAGAGCATCCACATAGATTTCAAGGCAATATGGAACTGTCTCTCAAAAGGGCATGGGATGGACGTGCTATACTTTTAAGCTCGTCATTTAGTTCACGAATACAACATTGTTATTAATTCCAAGAAATAAGTCTTCAAAAAAAAAACGATTTCAAATGACGTTTGATTCAGTGTGAGCACTGAGCATGTCATGTCATGTTCCTGTGGGACTGTATATATGTACTGACATTAGCACCGAGATTCTGCTTAATACATATTTTCGATAAGATCCTGGTAACAGTTGCACTCTAAAATATAGATATTTAATTTTTCTATACAAAAATCTTAGGGCAAAAGCAAGCCTCTGGTTTACTTTAGTTAGTATATTAACACTCTTAACACTAATGCATAGCATAATATCATAGGTCAGTCTTGATAAACGTCATCACGAACGGTTTGATGAGAATTATAAAAGGCCCTTATAACGACGCCACTAATTGGAGCAGCAGAGTTAGCAGCAAAGTAAATAGAAATTAAATTACTGACCCGGTGCAATAATTAAAAGAACTTTCGAACTTGTGATTGAGAACAAGTTTCTTGAATTATTTTGTCTTAAAGTCTTTTTATTTCTCATAACTCCATGAATCTACAAATCTCAACAAAGGGTCGATGGATGAATAAAGATGGTGAATTTCCGTTCTAACTAAATACTAGCGATGATAAAATATTAAAGTAATTTCCCTTCTTTTTGTTTCAAATTTGACTTACTATTTGTTTTCCACAATTTCTTGACGATTTGAAGGTCCACCATATGTAGCACGGCGCACGTGATGACCGCCGCCAAGGCCGCGCGAGGGATGAAGTAGAAGTACGGAGTCAGCAGAGTCAGCGTCAGAAGTACTATTAAACCTGCAATAAATACGAGCATTTAGATCAGTTATGCCACAATCGAAGTTTCAAACGGGATGGTACATAGAACTTTTAAAAATTAAACTCTTAAAAAATACTTGTTCTCTCGCAAGTACATACGTCTTCTATTAATTAAATAGCAAACCCAAAACGCTAGGATACTTGAAAACAAGATTCGTGTATCAAAAATTCAAAAGCCATGCGACAGTATGTTGCAAACTTTTTGATTTATGTTGACTTCTCGGCCTCGTTTCCGCATAGAGAACACTTATTTCCCCGTGAATTATATTCCTTTCGACCCATTTAACGGCAACTTCGTAGTTCTGTTTTACATTCATATAAAAGTTCATTTTCCTAACAACTTCAGGACATTACATGTTTCTTAAATTCACTACGGCCATCGATATTTGATTTAAATTAATTTAATATAGAACGGGCCTTTTAATTGTAATCCGCCTACCGACGAAATAGTGGATAAACGCAAAAGTCTTCACCCGTGTAGAAGCCGGCGGCAGGAGTGGCCACTCCGGAGGCATCGCTGACCGCGCTGCGAGTGAACGATCCGTTGACCGGGAACGAGTTGAAAAAAGATCCGGCGATGTTGCACAGACCCAGCGCCACTATTTCACGTGTTGCGTCTAGGGCTTTGCCTTTCGCTGGAATTTAGAATTAATCTATTTTTTGTAGTAAAATAGTGTTGTCGTCAACTTAAGAATTAAATTGTTTCAATTTTGAAGGTTGGAGTGGTCAATTGCATTAGGCTTTAAATTTTTATTATTATTACGAAATAAAATCAAAACTTGCTAAAAGTGAAACAGAGTTTGAATATAAATTAAATTACACAACGACAATTGTACAATAATACTCACAGAAGGCTTTAGCGATGGCTACGTTTGAAATGATTCCCACTAGTGGCACTACTAGCAGTCCACTTCCGAGGTGAGCTAACATTCCACCGGCATACACCGTGCCGTTACCAACTGTAGTTTGGAACGCTGGTACTCGAGGGTGTGGCAGACCCGCTGTTATGTGGCCTGCATTTAATTAAATCGTGCTATCATCCACAAACTAGAAACAGCAGTGAAACATCACAGCAGAGATAACATGAGATGTGATGACTTCCTTTATCGGCATTTACAGAATTCGGGGCAGTTTTCAGTTTGTAGATAGATCGTAAGAGATTTTTGTACCTCTATATGGGATATTGTAGATAAGAACCTCCTCAGTTAGTAAAATTAAATATATCGTGTCATGAAATTTATGAGGAGATCTCTATTCGAGTCGATTTAAGGCCAAGTGTTGTAGTGCCAATAGATTATTATTATTAATTAATCATGTTCATGATTCTATAGAATAAATGTTTTGTCAACTGAAATATAGCTTATAGGAACCGGTTTGTAAAATCCGGCTCATTACATTCTGTTCCATTTTGATACATATTTTTTATAGACGTGGAAGCTATGGAGTTAAAATTTTACAATATAAACCGAACCAACTATGCACTGGGTAGTGCATAATAGTTGGTTGTGGAGGATATCGTCATGATCAAACTTGATATACTTTCACACATACGAATGGAGATCTAGTTCCATTGCTTTGGTGCCGATTGCTCCTAAAATGATTAAGGCGCTAAAGTTAATTTTGGAAATAATCTGTCAATAAATAACGACGTCTTCACTTAATTATTGTAAAATGAGCACTATCTAGATATTAACGGAAATTAAAGTTTCAAATATAAAAAGGCGTGAGACAGGGTGACCCCCTTTCACCAACACTCTTTCTGGCCGTAATAGAAATGATCTTCAGGCATCTGGAATGGAGAGACATGGGCATAACTATTAATGGCCGCGCGCTAACGCACCTACGATTCGCTGATGATATCGTATTATTTGCAAAAACACCAGCTGATCTAAGCAAGATGATAAATGATCTAGCATCGGAAAGTGCAAAGGCCGGATTGAAGCTAAACCCGGAAAAAACAAAAATCATGACCAATGGCAACAAAGACCCTGTAATAGTGGAACAGAACCAAATCCCCTACGTGGAAGAATATTTATACCTCGGTCAACTGTTGTCTCCAGACGACAACGGAAACAAAGAAGTCGAAAGAAGAGTTGCAAACGGCTGGAAAAAATATTGGAGCCTAAAAGAAGTGATGAAAGACAAGACCCTACACAATTCAACGAAAAGCAAATTATTTAACACATGCATCCTGCCAGTGCTGGCTTACGGGAGCGAAACAAGGGCTTTAACAAAAAACGTAACATATAAACTCTCCGTATGTCAACATGCCATGGAAAGGAGCATGACTGGGATCAAAAGAAAAGACAAAGTAAGGAGTAGCAACATCAGAGGAAAGACAAAGTAAGGAGTAGCAACATCAGAGGAAAGACTAAGGTACAGGACATAACTTTGAAAATAAGAAGACAAAAGTGGAAATGGGCAGGCCACATGATCAGGGGAAAGGACAAATGGAGTAAAATAATCACACAATGGTACCCAAGAGATGGAAAGAGAAAGAGAGGTAGACCACAAAAAACGTGGGACGACGACATTATACAAGTCGCGGGAACAACATGGGGTAGAGTGGCCATAGAAAGGCCAGAATGGAGAAGGTTGGAGGAGGCCTTTGCCATCTGGCAAACGGACACCCAAAAGTGGAAGAAAAGTACAATATACGAAAAATAAAGAAAAATACTGGCATGTCCGAATAGAGGCTATAATAATAATAAAATTTTTCTTTATTTAAACATAACATGTTTAAATAAAGAAAAACAAGTTGTTTTATGATTTTATGATGATGCCTGAACCGTGTTTCAGAAAAAAGCTCATAAATGAATATCCCACCTCACACACACTATTACACAAACATTACCCTTATAATAACGCTGAAAGAATTTCATTCATAACATAAGAGCGAAAGGTATTTATGTCATTAATTATTTTTTATACAAATAATCGATATACGTCGTCAGGCTACCCCAGGGTTTGTGAGCGATTGAGGCGATTGTGAGCAAATTGACGTTTCCTCTTTCACATCACTTAACGCAATTTATGGTTTAATGAGGCTTCTACAATTGCGTCTTTGCTATTTTCTCAAAGATATAACCGAACCATTGTAGCCGAGATAGGAATGTGTTTCGACGGCATGTTTACTGCAGACAAATGACACACCGGTAAGTATGAAGGGATGATCCTTGTCCCGATGAAGACAGAAGGCGAGCGCTGCCGCTGCAACCACCGCCAGGGCGTTCCGCGACACACTCGCGGCCCAAAGCCCTCGTTTAACCATCGCCCGCCCTTTGCACTTCCCGTCCTCCGATTCTTCGATTCGAATGTCCTTTAGGGCCTGAAAGATTTTCGCTAAAGTAATTCGATCACCCACTTAATTTGAATTCTCAATATCGACTTGAGAGATGTACTTCTATATAATACTAAATAAATGTGAGCTTCACAACATCTGTGAAAAGCTCGACAACGCACGTCCATTTTCAAAGCATCCAGTTCACTGTTTCGTAATCGGTGACAGCTGTTGCTCAGCGAGCGCAATAGGTACGAGAGACAATTTATGATTTTATCATTGTTAATGAGCTTCTAACGCGATTATTACAAAGTTTTCAGGTCTAAATATTATGGCTTTGAAATGTTTCTTGAAAACGTTTAGAAACGTTTTTAGGCGTCGGGACGTGACGACCCCATCGCCCACTGGTGAAATAACCTGTGACAGAGGTTATTTCATCAGCGCAATCAGTCAACCCCTTCCTAGTGGGAGTGCCATGCTGTTGCCTTCGGGCTTCAGCCAAATGGGCAGGCACGACCGGGGCAGTACCACTGTCTCTCAGAAAACCGGCGTGAAGTGATGCAAAAGGTTCGCCTTCTTGTACTCGCGTTTCGTGCGGTGAGAGAGATTCCCGGAGCCCATCCCCCCCACACAAGAAATATGAAGGTGCAGAAAAAACAGAATCTACCCCAGGGGGGTACCACACGCGCTCGCGGTGGAGAATCCCCCTCTGGGCGTCCACCACCGGGACACTCAGCACCCGGTGGTGGACGCACAGGCTGCCCTTCGTATTCTGGGGGGCAATTCTGCGCTCTACAAAAATAGTAATCGTCCTCGGGGCAAACGGAGCAATTATACAAAGGCACCCCCGTCCACACTCGCCGTGGACTTCACAAATGTTAGGGGGGCTTAATTCTAACATCAACGCTGTCCACTATCATCTAGAGACTGCGAAGCCGGCCTTGCTCTTTCTTACCGAGACTCAGATATCCTCCCCGGCTGATACTTCCCACCTATCCTACCCGGGGTACAAATTGGAACATTCATTTGTGCCGCGGGCTGGAGTTTGCGTGTACGTCAGAGAGGATATCTGTTCTCGTCGCCTCGGGACGCTTGAAGGAAGGGACCTATCTAACCTCTGGCTGCGCGTAGACTGCGATGACCATCCGCGATTCTACGCATGCCTGTATAGGTCCCATAGCGGAAATACCGAAACTGACCGACTCATTGAGCACATCCAAATGGCTACAGATTCCCTGCTCGAAAGGGTTCCTACCGCTGAAATCGTGATACTTGGCGATTTTAACGCCCACCATGCCGATTGGCTCGGCTCTGAAACCACCGATCACGCGGGAAGATCCTTTCACGACTTTGCTTTAGCCTACGACCTGACACAAATGGTCCCTGCGATTACGCGAATACCAGATGTGGATGGTCATAAACCCTCTTTGTTGGACCTTCTGCTGACTTCTCATCCGGAGAACTATCAAGTCTCTGTTGACCCGCCATTGGGTTCATCAGATCATTGTGTGGTCCGGAGTACTGTGCCATCTACGCGCCCTTCACGGCCCCGCTTTATGGGTTGTCGCCGTATTTGGCACTATAAGTCAGCAGATTGGGACGGGATGCGGTCTTTCTTTGCGTCCTACCCTTGGGGGCCTATGTGCTTTTCGCCGGAAGCTCCAGATTCCGTCGCCGCCTCTGTCGCCGAAGTGGTTCTGCAGGGCATGGAACTCTTTATTCCATTTTCTGCGGTGCCGATCGGTGGCAAGTCTCAGCCCTGGTTTAAACGTTCTTGCAAGGCGGCCTCGCGTCGAAAGCGAGAATGCTTTAAGGCATGGGCGGAAGCGGCGAAATCTCGTGATGCCAATACCAGCGAACTTAAAAAAGCATATAACTCAGCCTCCAGGTCCTTCAAACGGGAAATCACTAAGGCAAAGTCAGAGCACATTGCCAGATTTGGCGAGAGATTGGCCCTACTCCCATCAGGGACTCGAGCCTTCTGGTCTCTCGCCAAAGCTGTCCAAGGGAATTTTTGTCAGCCCGCCATTCCGCCACTGCACAGGGAGGATGACTCTCTGGCCCACACTGCGAAGGAGAAGGCTGACCTTTTGGGCTGTCTCTTCGCGTCTAACTCGACTTTGGATGACCGAGGGAGATCACCACCGACCATTTCGCGGTGTGATTCTTCGATGCCGGAAATCACATTCCGGCAACGTGCTGTCCGCAAAGCACTATCTTCCTTGGACATTCATAAGTCGAGCGGGCCGGATGGTATCCCCCCAATTGTGCTGCGTACTTGTGCTCCTGAGTTGGCTCCGGTCTTAACGCGCCTTTTCCGGTACCTGTACTCGCTCGGCACTGTCCCGAAGTGCTGGAAGACCGCTTTGATACATCCGATCCCTAAAAAAGGCGATCGCTCTGATCCGTCCAACTATCGCCCAATAGCTATAACCTCCTTGTTCTCCAAAATAATGGAAACCATTATTAACAGCCAGCTCTTGAGGTATCTAGAGGGCCACCAGCTGATTAGCGATTCTCAGTACGGCTTCCGTCGTGGTCGCTCGGCTGGTGACCTCCTTGTATACCTTACACATAGATGGGCAGAGGCAATTGAGTCCAAGGGGAGGCGCTAGCGGTTAGTTTGGACATAGCGAAAGCCTTCGATCGGGTGTGGCACAGAGCACTGCTCTCGAAGCTTCCAGCCTATGGGCTTCCCGAGAAATTACGCAATTGGATCTCCAGCTTTCTGGCCGATCGGAGCATCAAGGTCGTCATCGACGGAGCATGTTCCGACCTAAAACCCGTAAACGCTGGGGTCCCACAAGGCTGTGTTCTATCCCCGACCCTATTTCTTCTGCATATCAATGATATGTTGAAACTTAGCAACATTCATTGCTATGCGGATGACAGTACTGGGGATACTTTTTACACTGGCCGGGCAGGTATTTCTCGGGCAGTTGTTGATGAGTACCGGAACAAACTTGTGTCTGAAGTTGAAACTCTACTTCGTGGAGTCTCAGATTGGGGCAGACAAAACCTAGTCCAATTTAACCCCAAGAAGACACAAGTTTGCGCGTTTTCCGCTAAAAAAACACCCTTTGTCGCTACTCCTCTTTTCGAAAACACTCTTCTTAAAGCCACAGCCAGCATTGGAATACTTGGCGTTGACATATCGAGCGACGTTCAGTTTCGCGGTCACTTGGAGGGAAAGGCTAAATTAGCCTCCAAAAAGCTTGGTGTGCTCAGCAAGGCGAGACGGTACTTCACTCCGGGCCACCGCATGCAACTATATAAAGCGCAAATTCGGCCCCACATGGAGTACTGCTCTCACCTCTGGGCGGGGGCTCCCAGTACCAGCTCCTTCCACTTGACCGTATACAACGCAGAGCGGTTCGAATCGTTGACGACCAATCCCTCTCCGAGCGGCTTGATCCTTTGGCGTTGCGTAGAGATGTGGGGTCACTCTGCATCTTCTACCGCATTTACCATGGAGAGTGTTCAGAGGAGTTGTTCGGATTAATACCTGCAGCTGAGTTTCATCATCGGACGTCGAGGCAGAATACGAAATTCCACCCGTATCACCTCGACGTCCGACGTTCCACAACTGAGCGTTTCTCAAGGCAGTTTTTGCCGCGCACCACCACTATGTGGAACCAGCTGCCCACTGAAGTATTCCCGAACCAATTCGACTTAGGGTCCTTCAAGAAAAGAGCGTACCAATTTTTAAAAGGCCGGCAACGCACTCGCGAGCCCTCTGGCATTGAGAGTGTCCATGGGCGGCGGTATCACTTAACATCAGGTGAGCCTCCTGCCCGTTTGCCCCCGTTCTATAAAAAAAAAAAAAAAAAAAAAAAAAGAAGCACTACTGGATTATATCTTTGGGTTGGCTTTCTGGGTTAAATTAAATCTGTAAAATGTAATATAGGGCGGGGTAATGTCTGGTCATTGTTTAATGAAGTGAGAAAATTGCAGAAGTGCCGATCGGAACGAGCACAAACCTAACAAGGTGTTGAAGCTGTTAAAGTTTTGTAAAATATACTTCGGCCGGGACAAACTTAGCTGGAACGACCGCGGATTATTTAATAAGTTGGCTCTCAGAGTCACTTTAAGATAAACCCGTATTCTGAGAGATACTTAGCAGTATATACATCTATATACTGAAAATCTGTAAAAACCTATATTTATGATAATAAAATACAACTCGCATAAAATTGACAGAATACCTAAAACCGACGCTCACCTTCATTCCCGTTAACAGGACACAACAGGACAGACCTAGCACCGTGTCATTCAATCTCGCGTTTGCGACGTTCTGGAATACGGCTCGCCAGGTCGACGTAAAGGTCTCGGCGTCGAAATGCAGCCCTAACAGTCCTTTTATCTGCGAAGAGGCTATGGTCACCGCGGCAGCCGATGTGAAGCCTGACACTACTGGAGTCGATACAAAGTCCACTAGGAATCCTGAAAATATAACACTTTAAATATCAGTCAAAGTAAAAAAAGATTGGTCATACATTGACATTTAAAGTATAGTAAGTGCATCTTGCTCTACCGAGTTGCGCAATGCCAGCGACGAGGGTCACGACGCCGCCAACGAAACAGAGCAGCACAGCAAAGTCAGGGTTGGTGCCATTGGTGTAGGTGAAGGTGAGTAGAGAGAGCAGAGCCGTGGGCCCGATGTTAATCTGTGGGATGGTGCCCATCACGCCGTACACGAAGCCACCCACCAGTGACGCATACAATCCATACTGAAATAACATATCGACTTTTTGACTAAATATTTCAAAGCCATTCAAGCCACGTAGAATTTTTATATTTTCATGTATTCATCACGCTGAGTCGCAAATTCCATCGTGTATTAAGAGTGAGGAAGAGGATTACTGTTCAATATTTCAGTGCGAAGTTATTTTCAAGTAAAGGCCAATAAACCATTTAAAAGATTGTTGAGTAATATCTTGAGTCATATTTTATATATCTAATTCCGATAAAGGACGTTATATCGACAACATTGACCCTGTACCTGTGATAATACGTTTAATATTGATGTTTTGCAATATTTTATTGAAAACCTGTTGCGTTCCTGATAACAAAAAGTAGGTCAATTATTTTCTAAGATATTAAATATTACGCTTGTGGTAAAAACATCCTTATGGACTCCACAATTTAGTCATTGACCGAGGTCTGAGTCTAACTCAAAAAAGGGATAAAAAAAGACGGAATTACCTACTCCGTATGCCAAAGATAATAATAAAAAGTTTAGCTGTTAAACGTAAAAGAGTAACAAACAAAACAATTTTTCTTTCATGTTGATATTGTTAGTCAAGAATTTATGTGCTGTTTTTACTACAATAGAACTTTTTTACTTAATTTGTCTATTGTGATATACAACAGCTTTGAATAGTTACGCACTTTGAAATATCGACAGTAATTAGATTATCATAGACACAATGTTTTTAATATCAATCAATCAATTATATTTACAATAGAATCAAGGTGAGAATTACAGAACACATGATATTAACTTACTTTACAACATTTAAAACAGACGAGAACAATGCTAAAGTCTATAATAAATATCTTTAAAACTTGCGAAATTACCAGCAATAAATATCTTACTTAACATGATTGCGTAGACATACATTCACGTCTCATTTCAATTACTTTGTCATGCAAATTGCAAAGCGCTTTTTTCATAATAGTAAATTATGTTTTAAAAAATATTCATTAAAAATGCTTGTTTTTTTATATGAGACTACTTTATCAGTCCCAAACGATACATTTGCAACTCATGTACAACGGAAATTGCTCACTGAAGGACAAACTCGATTCGTTAAATTTATGTTATTATTAAACAGTTAAGACCTGAGTGGGTCGTTAAGTGCTTGCCATACCTGCGGTTCAAAACCAGCCAGCGACGCATACGCGATGGACTGGGGTATAAGGGTGAGAGCGACCGTGACTCCGGCGATTAGATCTCCCAGAGCCGTCCGTAGTTCGTAATGGCGCGACCATTGCAATATCGGGAATACGCACTCGACAAGTCTTCTCGGATTCAACTTCCGAAGCATGCTGTAATTTTATGATTCTCTCTATGATTGTAATTAACATAATTGCTCGTACGGCACAGAAAAACGTCGCGAGCAAATCGACAAAACAAAACACGAAAGAAGTAAAGAAAAATTATTCACGTAAAGACGAAAAGCCCATGCGCCAAGACTCATATTGTACGAGATGCATATTATGACGCATAAGTCCTCAATAGAATTAAGAAAAAGTAATTTACTATTTCCTAGTACGTTTAACATTTATGATGTCTACGATTATTGATTATGATTTAATATTTTCTGTACCTAGTCATTACGTGTTTGGTACTTGTCGAGGAAAACTTGTGGAAAATTACGAATTTATTTCTATACAATCTTTAATTTGTGTTAACATCCTTTTTTTTCCTACAAAAAGAATAATAATAATTGTATATTAATAATCCAAACATATACATACCTGTACGTTTTAAATTTTTCAAAACAAAAACACACTAAAAATATAATAATCAAATTCCAAGAAAAATACACTTTTTATCAATGTCACTATATTTTAAAAGCCTCTGTTTTAAGATTAAACACTTTGTAAATATTCATATTAATCAAAATGTACTTTCCCGCGCTAAACGTGTCGACTACAGCGCCTGCGTGACAATTTTAACTTTTTGAGCAGCGCTTTGGTTAGTGTCTTGGCGCGAACTGTTTTCGTTGCTAAGTACGAGTATGACATCACGTTTTCAATTAAATTTTCCTATTATGCCCTAGGCATGTATTGTTATGAATTTTTCAAATACATCTTACCATGCATTATTTTGCTAAATCTAATTCGATGCCAAGACCAAGATTTATATTTTGTAACGTAACATTAACATACTATTTAATTGCTATATATAAGGGTTAAGGGTAAAAATTGATATGATTAAAACATGAATAAAAATGTAATAACTTTTATATTTACTGGGAACAACGAAACCTTTTAAAATAAACCACGCTTTTCTGAATGACGGGTAATGTTGCGGATAATAATATATTTCCTCCCGGAAAAGCCTTCAAGAAAATATATGCAAATATTTTCTATAATATTGTTTCATATAAATTCTATATTCTCCGGACGAGTATTTGACAATTCGTACTAAATCACACATTCAAGACCCAATAATGATATAAGCAAACAGTGGTAAGGCCAAATATCTGTACTAGCGTATGTATATCATAAAATCGACAGACGTCAGCACGACAAGGTTCTCAGGATTCCTACTAAGTTGAAATTAGAATGTTTACTTTTGATGGTCAGAATTTTCGTAGTTATTTAGGTGACACGACGAAGGCCTATCATGTCCTAATCATGGAGGATGGTGCTAATGTAGAGGCAGTAGTAATGTTTGCCCTTATGATGAAATATTATGTATTTATGCCATGGACACTCTCAATGTCAGAATGCAAGTGCGTTGCCAGCCTTTCAAGATTGCAAGCGATGGCCCGGAGTGAAGTACCGTCTCGCCATGCTGAGCACACCAAGCTCCTTAGAGGCTAAACTAGCCTTCCCTTCCAAATGACCGCGAAACTGAACGTCATTCGACATTTCAACGCCCAGTATTCCGATGCAAGCGGAGACTTTAAAAAGTGTGTCTTCCAGAGAATTATCAAAGGGATAGTAATATCAAAGGTATTTTACACATAGACTCGGTTAAGAATATCGCGTTTTTAAACTTTACGATTACTCTACATCGAATACCAATATAATTCGATTCGTTGGGTCATAACAACAACAATGACGAGCATTCACATTAGATAGATAGTTTAATTAGATATTAAAAGAAAAACAAATACGTAGCATAAAATACAAGAAAAACTATTGACAATCCAATAAAAAACTTACTCAGAAGAAACACACGTATGAAGCACGTTTTGATAAACGGTTCATACCAATTGTAATAGAAATCTCATAAAAACTGACATCATTACGATCAAAATGGTATTTCCAAATGATTTCATAAATAATGACAACCAAAATTTTAACTTTTAAGTTAGTACTCAACGATAAAAACAATAAAAAAGTGAACATAATACGATTTTATTTCAATAATAATGTATAGTAATAAGTTTTCGCTTTTATAGATATTGGTACGTCGTTTTACGTTTTTTTGAAGACGAAACAAGACATAATATTAATTAAAGTCAAATATTATTTAGATCACGGTAGATCTAAATAACATTTGATTGCATTAACAAAGTACAGGAACGTTTCATTCATGTTTTCAGTCGTTTCGAGGTTAGATGAGGCGTGAGGTCCAGAATCCGCAATGAGCCGAACAATGGATCACCCGGATATTGGCTGTCAAGTGTTCGCTGGCTTCACTCTGGGAGTAATATCTTCTATAAAATTAGGTCAAATTTTTTAAATCTCAAGTTTCATTGATTTGACGCCTCATTGGTCTAGTGGTTAGTACCCCTGACTGCGAATCCATGGGTCCCGGGTTCGATCCCCGGCTGAGACGAACATCGATGTGATGAGCATTTGGTGTTGTGCTTAGGTCTTGGGTGTTTAAATATGTATTTAAATCTATCTATCTATAATAATATGTATGTATATCCGTTGCCTAGTACCCATAACACAAGCTTCACCAGCTTAGCATGGGACTAGGTCAATTGGTGTGAATTGTCTTTAAAAAAAAATAAAAAAATATGAGTTTGTAGCTTACAGTATAATAATAATAAATTATTTTTGTTTTATTTATATTTCCCACTTTTGTCGTGTGAACATTTTTCGTTTTGGTGTTATACTAATACATAGTTTGAATGATAATTGTTTTATATATTTTACATATATTTACTTTCCAAATGCTTGAAATGTATTTATTAATTAATTGCTTTCAAAGATTAGTCAGAAAGTCAACAAAATAATATAATTTTATATCAAAAAGATGAAACTGAAATGTAAATTCAAGAATTGAATATTTATTAAAGCCTATTTGGACCTGTTTGTACGATTTTAATAATTATACTATGGCTACTTCGTTGTCGACGTATCTTCAGTTCTCGTCAAGGGAAAGGTATTTTAGATATAAAGTATTAAAATTTGTCTTAATCTTCTTTTCGATACTTATTTTTATAATTAATTAAAAGAAAAAAACCTAAAGATCTCACAAGCCAGAGGATTAGTTTATGTTTGGCAAACAAGGTAAATCGATTATATCGTTATCATGCGCCAGTTGTATGCGATCGCCGTCCGGAACAAATAACAATGGACGAAAAGGTCGTCCTCATCTGTGACCAATCTCAATAAACGTATTGTTCATTTGATATACCTGATATTCTATTACTTCATTTTATTTTCTCTATATATGCCTCGTACATTCTAATATCATGGAACAACTGTGGCGGTAAATGTAATGTATTGAAACTATTCAGTTATTATTAATGACTGACTGTCCATTGCATTTATGTTTATATTCATGGTCAATGTCAGAGGCCTTGATAACAATGAAAGGCATCTAGGAAACGCAACGATCACAGTTAAGGCTTAAAAATGGCATAACTAAGTCAAAGTCAAGTTAGAAAATCTTGATGACATGCTTCTGACAATTTGTCGGAATGATTAGATCTTTAAACCTTCCGCAACAGCGAAAGTGACTCTTTTCCACCTCAGGATTGCATAACAAGTGTTTGAATATTATCTCTTTAAATCGATGCTCATCTCGCTACTAGTTGATAAAAGGGCCTGGGACTAGTGCTCGACAGGCTACTTCTATTTAATTTGCGATTGCGATTGTTTGATGATTTGCTATTTTAAAAGAGTACCGAGAGTTTTTACGTAGTATTTTTCTCTCGGCCTACACCCTCTGTCTTCTTTGCCGATGAGTAGGTATGTCTACCTATTCAAATTTAATGACGTAGAATAAGTGATACCTGTTTCTTATGTTCCATAATAAACATATTTTTTTATTTTTTATTTTACTAGTGAAACAGTCACAGCAATTGGTCTGCTAGAGAATGACCTTCTCTCCGACCTTCTCTCGAGATCTCCTTTGTTGAAAACTCCTTGGAGCCTTGAAGATTCTCACTAGAAATAACTTATAAAGCGTTGAACACGCAGCTCGAAGTCGTTGCATTTCCGTCTTTGGACTTAAAAAAATACAACCGACTTAAAAATGCACTAAAACGTACAAAACAAACAAAATTTTGAAAGTCGAAGTCAAACAGTGAAGTATATATATGGATTTCGATAGACAGTCCTTATGCTTTCGAATAGTCATAAAGCTAGGTTGTCATAATATTATATAAACATTTCTATTTGGCTATTTTATAAATAGCGAAGTTGGTCGCATTTAAAATTTTTATTACAGCGACATCTTTCGGCGTTTATTTGAAACATTGTAAGGTTGGTTCAGTAAGACACTAATTCGTTTCAGTTCGATAATAAAATTCTCGTGGTGTTTGACTAGTGCGATATCATATCGTCAGAGGGAACTGTTATAACTTAATTGATCTACCGGCATACAATCATAAGAAACAAATTATTATTCAATTTATATTATATAATAAATAGAACCGATAAGCACTCCCCGATGTACAGCCAGCCGAGCCTCGTTTGAGATTTCAACTCAAGCAACATGTTCCCTCGACTTTCTTTATCATCGTCATACATTCCATCCGAAGTCAACATACAGCCAAAGGACACGAACTTATCCACTTGTTCCATCTATCAAGATATCGCATACAGTCCAATGACACCAGTTTCAAATACCATAGGTATAAACATAACTTATAACAATTTTGATGTGTAAAATAATAAGAATATCCTATGGATACAGACACAGGACTGATGTCTGATGATGATGATGATGATGATTAATCCATTATCTTATATATGTACATATAGTACATATATGCGGGCTGTTCGGGGTATTTGTTGTGTTTCTCCGAGGGAGTCGGTACGGAATAAGTTTAAGGAATTAAATATTATGACACTATCTGGTCAATATATTCTTGAAGCCTTGTTGTATGTCCAAAAAAATATTAACGATTTTAAAACAAATTGTGACTTTCACCAGTATAATACGCGAAATAGAACTAATTTGAGTGTACGACCAACCAGGCTCCAAAAGATAAACCACTCCTTATATGGAAATTGTATTCGTTTTTACAACAAACTCCCAAGCGAAATTAGAGAATTATCACTAAATAATTTTTTTGTTTTTATTTTTTTTATGATACAACATACAAAAATACATACAACCCATAATTTTCACCCCTCTACGATCAACCCCTATTTTGTATTATAGTAGACAGTTATTTTTATTGAACTAAAAAAATGTTTCCTAGAAATAAGATACATGGCAAAACGACGTTTGCCGGGTCAGCTAGTAATATGTATAAAAGAGCAATAGATAAAATTATCTTAACAATTTGGAACTAGATATTGGTGTCATAGGGTTAATGATAAAAATCACTGGTTTGTAAAACTGTAGCAGTGGCTAGTTTATTTACAGCGTGACTTAGGACTGTACAGTGTACACTGGCGGATAGAGTCATGAATACTATTATGACAAAAGTACTCATCGTGGCCTTTTTGGCCGTTGGTAAGTATTTCTTAGAATACGTGATGTACTTCATATCCTAACTGACTTAACAAGGTGACCTTTTTAAGCAACTCTGGGGTACAAAGTTGACAAGACTTCTGATGCCGAAAAGTTCAAATTGGGCATTAGAGCGCTTTGCAAGAGCAATAACGCAGAAGAGGAAGCGACTCAAGCTGTGGTAAGACAATATTTAAGATAAAAGTAAACAAACGCATTTGAAATGCCTCGGCGAAGCTGACAAAGATTCTACTACTAAAGACCTACGTGATGCCTTGGAGTTTACAGATACGCGTTTGTTTTAATAATGCAACTTTTAAGTACAACCGTGTGTATTGTTGTAGCATTTTAACCCTACATAAACGTATTCCTTTCATTATAGGCTGCCTTTGAAAGTTTTTACAATTACTTTGCGACATTTGCTACCGATGCTTTTGCTTACGAGTTCTGGGAGGCAAAAAACAAAGGTGAACTAAACAAATTCTTCAACAAGTAAGTACAACGTCTACATCACAATTTATAGAAATGAAAAAACAGGCCTTAAAATTATTACAGCGTTATTAAATAGTAATAAAAATAATACATCTCGTTCCTAGGTACTGTAGCAAAGCGCAAGAAATAAAGACAGGTATCAGTACCTTCTTCGGTGGACTCTACCCTTGTTTGCACTCCACTGTCCGCAATGACGTCACGGCTGACAACGCTGCCACGGCGGAGTTCATTGACTACTTTTGCCACAATGATGGCGAAAGACCAATTGGTACATAGTTAATTGCTATAAATAGTTTATAACGAACTATTATTCGATGAATGCCTCTCGAGGTCTCGGTTTAATCGTGATGTCTATCTCTGGATACACATTTGGTCTTCTTATATAGCTTTTATTATTTTCAGCTTTCCTGACTGAAGGTGGTTCTGATTATTTGAAGAAGAACTCAGGATACGTTTCTGATTGTGTTACCGAGAAGCGTAAAAATATAACCGAAAATGACAACCCGTTCGACGTCTACGTATGTTTTCCTTCTTCTATTTCTGTGAAATGAGTCGTTTTCGTATATCCATGTCCATTTTTAATAGAAGAATATGTTATATTGTAAAACTACTTTTCAGAGGTTCTGTGGTCGAGTGGTGGATGTTTTTTCGTGCGCTTTGAAGATTCTCGAGGAATCTCCGCTAAAAAACGCCATCAACCAAGGACAGTCGTTGGTCACTTTCTTCACGAAGCACACATTCTGCAAAGACCGGGTAAAAACGGTGTAGATATTTTGTAACATTTAAATTTTTTTTAGACTTGTTTAAAATGGCAAAAAACTGACAATTTAAGACTGCTTAAGCCCACGTGACACGTGCTTTCTAAATATTAATCGATTTATTAATTTCTCATTTCATTGTAAACAAAAAACTAAGAACTTATTTTAAAAAATCCAGAGGAGGTTACGATTCGTGTAATTTTTTTGGAGTATGTTCAAACACAGCTCTACCGTCCGTGGACCGATGTGTATAATCGAGGTGTCAAATGATTTAGATTTGCAGTGAATAGGACCCTTTTTTTTGTTTTCCGGATATGAGCTAAAATGTCTCATAATAATTCAGAAGTCGCACCGCTGCGTGTTTAATTGCTTATAAATCAATGATTTATTGACACGTACTGCGATATCAATATAATATCTATAAGTAAAAGTACAGTATTGTTATTGCTTTGTGTGCTGACTTAGTTTTGCCAAAATAAAGTTTACGAAGATCAGAGCTGTTCTTTTAAAAAACGAGATGAAAACGTCTCAGTCGAGATTGGTGGAGAACGCGAACGTCTTATTCACGATGGCTCTGAAATAGTTACGTTATAGTTCTCTTATTAGGCCATTTTTATTATTATGAACTTATATAAACATTTGAATGTATTAATACTCTCTCTGTGTAGACTCATACTAATGACAAAACCCTATATTTAATTATATTAATTGTTTCAGAAATATTGAGATTCTTTACACCAATAGCCAAGGTCACTGCAATAGCAATGTTATAATAAAAATGTTTTTTTTTGTACTTTGTGTTTTTTTTTACAAAAAGTACACTATCATAGTGATGAATTATTTTAAGCCTTTCTAAACTCGATAGAAATCTTCATATTATAACGATATAATAATATTCGCAGATAGTCGATAGTAGTAGGTCAACAATACGATATGTTGTACACAGAAATCAGATTAGTTAATATACATATTGATATTTTACTCGTTTTAAATTTCCCATTATTACATAGAGTTATAATTACATAATAAATAAGTGTCGAAAGCAATGATTTCATTTTCAATTGCTTTATGCAGTTGGACAAATGTAAGGTACTAGAATATTAAAAGGCATTATATGATGTAAAGATCAATCAAAAAAGTGATCGTTTTTATCGGGGGATATTTACGACTAACCCATTTTTTTTCGAATGCGCTGCGCTTAATTATTAACTACAGGCACTCAAAAGAAGAAATCTAAAAAAAAAAGGGTGCGTGTACTTATGTACGCGCGTAAGAAGTTATACTTCTTTGGCATTATTAAAAATAGTTTTTGATTGCGTGCAAATAATTAATTACAATTAAATAATCAAAGACTGGAAAAGGAGTCATTTTAGTCAATAAAGTTCAGTTTACATTTGAAAAATTAAATAAATAAATATTTATTATTATTCTCTTACATTAAGTGTAACATAAATTCTATTATTATTCGAATGTTGTTTTTAAATTATGTCCAATGCCGTAGCATCTTCATTCTGTTAATTTTGTGTCACGGTGCGCGCGCATCGTAAAATTTCACTCTCATCAATTTTTCATAACGCGCCTAAAGAAGTATAACTTCAATAATATAAATTTTGTTTTCACAAAAACGTAAAGTTTTTCACTAATAAAATTCCTTCACAAAGAGGAGAGTAGTGAGTAATAATTGTTTAGCTTGGTGGGCACTTCAAATAAATTATACTGGCCATCTGCAACCTATGGTCCACAACAGTAGCACCGACTCACTGTTGTGCTGAGCCATGCTGCAATTTAAAATATATATTCGATTGAATTGCCACTCTATACATCCTAAAAGTAAGGGAATGAAGTGTAGTAGACGCTAAACGAATTTTGAAAGTTTTTGTCGTGTCTTTAGTTTTTTCTGCTTCAAAGAAATCCGGCATACAGTGTAAACTCTTATAACGTAATAATTTCATATTTAGACATAGATACTTAAGTGTAATTGTTTTTATAACAAAACTAACCTTTTCAGGTGCAGAAATTTCTAAAAAAGCCACCTGAGGTCATAAACAGCCTTCTCGCCTTTGTTATTGTTAATTGCATTAACACGTGTGCCATTATTCTTAGATTACATTGCCTGTAGGAAATTTTGGTCTCAGTTACTAAACGCACCATTGTCACCTATCGACTGATAATGAATACATATCAGTCGTAAACAAATTTTGAAACTGTCAAGAGGGCCAGTGATAGTAATAAAATCAGAAATTATTGTAATTGGTTAGATTCTTTTTTTTCTATTCCATATAACAAAATCTCTCTATAACAAAAAAATGCTCGGTCCCTTGAAATTCATTATAAAGAGTTTACACTGTATTTAACTTAACTTATTTAAAATAAATTGAGTAAGTTGTTTCTTATAGTTCGGATTATCCTTGATTTCACCTGTACTCAATTCATAACAATAGTATACGTTTTACAAAGCGTAAACCAACGTGTAAGAAGCGCCTGGAAATAAGATATTGGTGTCACAAGGTTAACGATAGCAGCTTATAATATATTATAATTGTTCATTCTTTAGGCAATGACTGGGCCGGTAAATGATACTCTTTAGACGTCTTGTATAAACTTGTTAAATTTCTTTATATGACCTTTCACTAGTCTAGTACAAAGAGAAGTGATGGCGCACGTCGCCCCACCTTACAATTATAATTTGAAAATGCGCCTGATATAAAACTTGCGCAATGTCGCAACATACTCCCGGCCGTTGAAACTCTTTCAACATTCTTCATATTTTATTCTTCTTGTACCGGCAAATTGCACAACCGGACCAATGAACGTGTTATGCAGCCGCTCCTGGTTTTAATCTCTGCCACTCTGGCCACTCCATCTAAGCCAAATACAAAATACCATCCGTATCATCTCGACGTCCGTCGTTCCACAACAGAGCGTTTTCTAAGGCAGTTTTTGCCGCGCACCACCACTATGTGGAACCAGCTGCCCACAGAAGTATTTCCGAACCAATTCGACTTAGGGTCCTTCAAGAAAAGAGCGTACCAACTCTTGAAAGGCCGGCAACGCACTTGCCAGCCTTCTGGCATTGTGAGTGTCCATGGGCGGCGGTATCACTTAACATCAGGTGAGCCTCCTGCCCGTTTGCCTCCTATTACATAAAAAAAAAAACATTTATCAGCCGCTGCACTCGACCCAACTTCCAGCAGAGAGGGGCAGTATTGTCTTCGGCTATCAGCACTAGGTCCCCAATATTAAGATTGGCAGACTTCTCTCTCCATTTATTGCGCTGTTGCAATTCCACCACGTACTCCTTTTGCCATCGTCTCCAAAAGTGCTAATTGCTCAATTCTCTGGTACCTTTGTAACTGACTAAATTTGGTTAAGGTCGTCCAATAAGCTAGTGTCCTGGGTAAAGGGTAAGAAGGTCATTGGGAGAAGATGACAAGGGACACACGGCTGTTCAGGATTGCCTCTACTTGTGCAAATAAAGTTGATATTTCCTCAAAAGTAAGATGACAGTTTCCCATAACATGCCGTATGGTACTTAGCAGATTTTACCCCACTTTCCCAAATAACCATACCGAAATGAGGAGTATATGCCGGAATAAAATAAAATTTAATAGATTGTTGACTTGCAAAGTCAAACAGAGAATCTTTATTTTGTTTGATAAATGAACCTAATTCTCGCGCTGCAGCTACAAAATTCGTACCGTTATCAGAAAATATTTCCGATGGATTTTCTCGACGAGCAATAAAACGTAGAAGTGCCATTATATATGCTTCTTTAGTTAAGTTACTAACAGCCTCTAAATGTATACATTTGAAACGCAAGCAAACAAATATACGCAAATAACATTTTATTAAGCGGCTTCCTCGTCCTTTACCTGTCTTTTTAAAAAACGGGATGATGCAGATTGAAGTTATGTATTATTATAAACTTACAATTATTTTACCTAATTTTAAATTTAACCGACGTTTCGCGTGCTTTACAGCGTGCGTGGTCACGGTGACTGAAGACAAAAGGCGTAGAATGTCAAAAAGTATCACTTCTGTAGAAAAAACTGTATAATCTGTATTTATTTCCTCGGAGTTGGTATCGTTTAAAAGATGGAGGGTTTTGACAGAAATGGCTTAACCCTAAACCCAGTACGATTAGAACTATCGAAGGCGAAACCTGTGCGCGCGAATTACGAATTCTCCTTTTATTGCTAATAATTACTTTATTCTTGTCTTAACGCTTTCTTTTCTCGTATTGTGCTTACAACTTTTATCTTTAATTAACTTGGTTTCTTCTGTGCAAATTGTGTGAAAATATAAATATTTAAGACGTGAAGAAGATTCCTTTGTCGTCCTACTGCCTAGCCTATGAAACTATGGTACTCGCCTCACGCGCACCATAGCAAAATAATTATCAAATAATTATCTACAAACGCCTTCTTCATGTAATGTAGCAAACAATTAACACTATACGGATTAAAGAATTTTTTTTTTTTTTACTTATTAAAACTTCGTTACATGAACAAAAAGAGAATAAATTGATAAATTAAATAAAAAAGGAAGGGCAATTGGCGGCCTTGTCGCTTTCAACTGTTTACAAATAAATGAATTTATTCCATTCATCAATAGATGTCGCTAGAAGTAAAATAAATTTTGCCAAATCGCGATGTTGTTACATGGCAATCACGACATAAGAAGTGAATGTTTGTCTATTATGTCTTCGACGAGGTTAGGTTAAATTTTTTTTTTTTTTTTTTTTTATTAAAATATGCGAGACCCTAGTAAGGCCTACCTCCCCCGGCTACTTTATCGCCGGGGCCGTTGTGCATCTAAGCTCCTATGAGTAAAACTACAGAAAAATTAGGTTCTTTATTGAGGATTTCAACGAATTGTAGTCAATTTTAATTCATAACTTTTACAACATTTTATTATTCTATACTTTAACTTCTATTCTAATATTCTATGGGTCTGTCGCAGGGGTCGTTTGATGAGTATCAATTATAATTGTTATTATTTATTTTTAGTTAAAGTATACAACAATAACATCTACAACTACATAGGAGAAACATTTATTTCACATGCGTGTTTTGGTGCTTAAATAATGATAATAATTATATTATAATGCTGCAACGTGGTTTGTACATTTAAACTTTTGATGAACGATTTTAACAGAATTTCAATTTAAAATTTTTATATACTATGATTACTAACTAAAATATTTACATTCTTGTTTAGCTTAATTTACTCTTATTTTCTTTAAGTAATGTTGTGACTATTTTTGTCGCATAATTTTTAAAATGGCGTCTAAGTTCTGCATTGTTCATTACTTGCGACAAGTCCTCCATCGTTATTTTACCCGTTCCGATAACTTGTTCGAGGTCCAGGAGCCTTGCTAGGGCGTGGCGCGGACACTCAAGAAGACAGTGTCTTACGTCTTGGGTGCTTTGTTGGTCACAAGGGCACGTCGGGTCCCCTTTACACTTAAACCTATGCAGGTATTCGGAGAACCCGCCATGCCCCTTGAGCATCTGCGTTAGCTTATTAGTAAGTCTGCCATTCTTGAAAGCCCTGTACGCTTGCTCCGGTGATGAGAAGAAGATCTTTGTGACAGATGCATTTTCGGAGTTCTGATATCGTGTTTGCCACTCCGCCTTGGACTTTTCTCTGAGTAGACGTTTTACATACGATATGGGGCAGGTGTTGTAGTGTGGTTTGCATTTAAGGTTAAGGGCTGCTTCTTTTGCAGCCGTGTCTGCAGCTTCATTTCCCTGGAGTCCTGCATGTGCTTTAACCCAGTATAGTTGGACTTCTTGGCCTGCCTCTCTACAGCTCTCAATCTTCTTCCTTGCTTCGTGGGCGAGTCGGTTTTTGGTTAGGTTAGGTTAGGTTAGGTTAGGTTCAACTAACTTGCTGTCAGTTGCTTCAACAATGCAGGGTAGAGGTTGCGTTGCTTTAAAAATTGGCAGAATTGCAGTTATTGGTGTTTATTTTTCCCCAAATAAAACGCTTGCTGAATTTGAAACGTTTTTGTCCGAACTGGGCTGTCTTGTTTCATGGTGTCGACCCCTCGATCTTATAGTCGCTGGAGATTTCAATGCTAAATCTACAGTGTGGGGGTCTGCAGTATCTGATGAACGTGGTGACGCTTTGTTGGATTGGCTTGCAACTCAAAATTTAGTGTCACTGAATCGGGGTAATGTTCAGACTTGTGTACGTATGAATGGTGGCTCTATTGTGGACGTTACCTTTTCAAGTCCTGCTCTTGCAAGTCGTGTTTATGGATGGAGGGTGTTGTCAGAAGTTGAAACTTTATCGGACCACAAGTACATTCGTTTTGATATCCTGGATTCCACTGTAAGCTTACCGGGTCCTGCTCCATCTGAGATAGGTCCTAGATGGTCCCGAAAAAATCTAGACAAAGATGCGCTTACCGAGGTATCCTTAGTAGAAGCTTGGAATCCCAAACCTTCAAATTTTACAATTGATTCTGAGGTAGAATGGTTTAGGGACTCACTGACTCGTATCAGTAACGGTGCTATGCCCCGGATCGGTCCCATCTCACCCAAGCAAAGCGTCTATTGGTGGTCATCTGAACTAGCCCGACTACGAGGGGAGTGTGTTAAGGCGCGTCGCCGTTACACGCGTTTTAGAAGAAGGCATCTCAGTTACCGTGATCCGGACGAAGAGGCAAGTTTATATAATTCTTATCAAGAAGCAAAAAGGGCTCTTCGGTTGGAAATAGCTGAAGCAAAGGATAGGGCATGGAAGGAGCTCCTGAACTCTTTGGATCGTGATCCTTGGGGGCGACCGTACAATATTGTCATGAGTAAACTCCGTCCCTGGAGGCCGCCGCTAACATCTACAATGGAGCCGACGTTTCTAGGGATGGTTGTTACATCGCTGTTTCCTTGTGATTCTACTCCTTTTATTAATGTTGACTTCGATCATTCAGAGGATATTCCTGAGGTGTCAGAGGGTGAGTTAGGGGCTGGTGTTTTTAAAATTCAAAACAAAAAACCGCTCCTGGTCCAGATGGATTGCATGGAACGGTTTGGGCGCAATCTCTTAAAAATGGCTTATTTAACAGATTTCGAGATCTCCTTTCTGATCTTTTGAGGAAAGGCATATTCCCTAATAGCTGGAAAGTCCGACAATTGCTTCTTCTTAGGAAGTTCGGGAAACCGGTAGATTCACCTTCGGCCTATCGACCTATTGTTTTACTTCCTGAGGTGGGCAAACTGTTTGAGCGAATAATTGTCTCGCGCCTCGAGAAGCATCTTCAGATTATTGGTCCAAATCTGTCTGATACTCAATTCGGTTTTCGGTGTGGTCGCTCTACAATTGACGCTTTAGCTAAGTTAAGGGACTTGTGCGAAGAAACTGTCTCTGGGGGTGGGGTTGTGTTGGCGGTTTCGCTAGATATTGCGAATGCGTTCAATACTATTCCCTGGAGAGCGATTATGGATGGTCTCCTTTATCATGGTGTGCCTGTGTACTTACGTCATGTAGTAGGAACTTATCTCTCTGATCGATCGATCATTTATCCAAGTCGGGAAGGTTGGAGAAGCTATCAGGTTCAATGTGGAGTTCCACAGGGGTCTGTTCTTGGGCCCCTTTTGTGGAACATTGGATTTGATGCTGTCCTTCGAGGTAGACTGATGCCAGGAGTAGGTTTAATATGTTATGCTGATGATACACTTGTGACGGCCAAGGGATGTAATTATCAGGAGGCGAGTTTGTTAGTTACTGCTGGAGTGGAAGAAGTAGTGACTCGTATAAGACAACTTGGTCTTCGAGTCGCTCTACAAAAATCAGATGTCATATGTTTCGCTAGGAGGTCACCACCTAGAGGCGCTGAGATAATAGTGGATGGTGTTCATATGGCATTAAAGTCGACGTTGAAATACCTCGGGTTGGTTATTGACGCCCGATGGACTTTCAAGGCTCATTTTGCTGCCCTGGAACCCAAGCTTGATTCAACTGCAATGGCATTGGGTCGTATAATGCCAAATATCGGTGGGCCAGGCGGGGGCTGTAGGCTCCTTTATGCTGGTGTGGTGCGTGCAAAGGCGCTTTATGGGTGTCTGATATGGGCGGATAAGTTGTCTTTTTACAACAAGGCTTTACTGAGACGGTCACAGCGTAAAGTTGCCATAAGAATTGCTAGGGCATACCGTACCGTATCCTGTGACGCGGCATGTGTCATAGCCGCCACTCCGCCTTGGCATTTGGAAGCTTTGGCTTTGGGTAAATTTTTTTGGAGAAGAGCTGAAGCCAGGAGTGGTGGTTTTGACCCACCTCTGGAGGTAGTCAAGGTCTGGAAGGAGGAGTATCGCCGCCTAATTTTGCTAGAATGGAGGGATGAGTTAAGTGAATGTCGGTTTGGTTTACAAACTGTTGATCTTATTCGTCCCTTCTTGAAACACTGGGTGGACCGACGGTGGGGATCGCTTTCCTATCGGCTCGTTCAGGTTCTCTCTGGGCATGGATGCTTTGGGAGTTACCTGTATCGAATCGTTGGAAGAGAGGCGACACCTGCTTGTCATCATTGTGACTGTAGAGAGGATACGGTGAGGCACACTGTTGAGGAGTGTCCGGCTTGGGACGGCTTTCGCTCGGTCCTTGCTGATAGCATTGTTGGCAATCTGTCGCTTCCACTAATTATCCAAAGAATGGTGGAAGCTGACAATGACGGCCCTTGGAATGCCTTCAAGGCTTTTTGTGAGGCCGTCATGACTGAGAAAGAGAATGCGGAGCGTCAGCGTGAAAATAATTCTGATGCTCCGCCGGTAAGAAAACGACGACCGGGGCAGCGACGCCGTGCTTTCGCACGTCTGCCCTAAGTTAAGATGCTGATGATTTGTTCGTGGGAGGAGTCACGTTGATATTGTGGCATTCGCGTTTGGCGGGGGTAAGGATAGGGCTCAGCTGTTACCTGCCTCCGCCCTTTGGCGAGCCGAAGGCATCCGTCAGGTTTTAGTGGGTAGGTGTGAAGATATTATGTCTGAGTCCCACATAATCCCTGCTGAATTTTACTCCAGCAGGGATATGCGTAAAAGCATTTCCTGACGAAAAAAAAAAAAAAAAGGTTAGGTTAGGTTAGGTTTTTTTTTTTTTTTTCTTTTAATTGTTAGTAGGCCTACCATCCCCGGCGACTAACGGCCCGGGGCCGAGGAAGCTAAGCTAAGGTACAGCTCGAAGTCTTTATTAAAGTAAAACAGATATATACAGTGGTTGTGGATTAGGTGGTTGAGGGTTGGTTTTGCTATTTGATACAATTCTTTTCCCTCAACCACCTGAACAGAGTCCACGTCTCAAAACTAGTAATTATATAAAAAATGAAAGTGAAATATTAACAGGTTATTTTGTGCTTAAATAAGTAGGTTGATAATATAAAATTTTTAACACAAAGTAGTATATAAAAGTGGTTATATAGTTATTAAAGTAACAGTTATGTTTATTATTATATAGGTATTAGGAATTAAACGCGGGTAGGTTGTTGATGGTCGGTTCTGCTATTAGATACAATAACCTTCCCTCAGCCGCCCAATTTAAGTCCGCTTCCTAATACGTACATTAAACACAACGCAAACAAAATTTAGAGCTAAAGTAAAATAAAAATGTAAAAATACACACTGGAATGAATAAAACAGTTGTTATAAAATTAAGTTTAAACAGATAGGCTTTAATAATGAGCCTGTAAATGACTATGCTGGTGTTTGGAGTTGGACACGGGTAGGTTGTTGAGGGTCGGTTCTGCTATTAGATACAATAACCTTCCCTCAGCCGCCCAATTTAAGTCCGCTTCCTACCACCAACATTAAACATAACACAAACAAAATTTAGAATTAAAGTGAAATAAAGGTGTAAAAATACTCAATGGAATGGAATAAAACAGTTGTTATAAAATTGAGTTTAAACAGATAGGCTTTAATAATGTGCCTGTAAATGACTATGCTGGTGTTTGGAGTTGGACACGGGTAGGTTATTGAGGGTCGGTTCTGCTATTAGATACAATAACCTTCCCTCAGCCGCCCAATTTAAGTCCGCTTCCTAACACCAACATTAAACATAACACAAACAAAATTTAGAATTAAAGTAAAAAAAAATAAAAATGTAAAAATACACAATGGAATGGAATAAAACAGTTGTTATAAGATTAAGTTTAAACAGATAGGCTTGAATAATGTGCCTGTAAATGACTATGCTGGTGTTTGGAGTTGGACACGGGTAGGTTGTTGAGGGTCGGTTCTGCTATTAGATACAATAACCTTCCCTCAGCCGCCCAATTTAAGTCCGCTTCCTAATACCAACATTAAACGTAACACAAACAAAATTTAGAATTAAAGTAAAAAAAAATAAAAATGTAAAAATACACAATGGAATGGAATAAAACAGTTGTTATAAGATTAAGTTTAAACAGATAGGCTTGAGTAATGTGCCTGTAAATGACTATGCTGGTGTTTGGAGTTGGACACGGGTAGGTTGTTGAGGGTCGGTTCTGCTATTAGATACAATAACCTTCCCTCAGCCGCCCAATTTAAGTCCGCTTCCTAACACCAACATTAAACATAACACAAACAAAATTTAGAATTAAAGTAAAAAAAAATAAAAATGTAAAAATACACAATGGAATGGAATAAAACAGTTGTTATAAGATTAAGTTTAAACAGATAGGCTTGAGTAATGTGCCTGTAAATGACTATGCTGGTGTTTGGAGTTGGACACGGGTAGGTTGTTGAGGGTCGGTTCTGCTATTAGATACAATAACCTTCCCTCAGCCGCCCAATTTAAGTCCGCTTCCTAATACCAACATTAAACATAACACAAACAAAATTTAGAATTAAAGTAAAATAAAGGTGTAAAAATACACAATGGAATGGAATATAACAGTTGTTGTAAAATTAAGTTTAAACAGATAGGCTTTAATAATGTGCCTGTAAATGACCATGATGGTGTTTGGAGTTGGACACGGGTAGGTTGTTGAGGGTCGGTTCTGCTATTAGATACAATAACCTTCCCTCAGCCGCCCAATTTAAGTCCGCTTCCTAACACCAACACTAAACATAACACAAGCAAAATTTAGAATTAAAGTAAAATAAAGGTGTAAAAATACACAATGGAATGGAATAAAACAGTTGTTATAAAATTAAGTTTAAACAGATAGGCTTTAATAATGTGCCTGTAAATGACCATGATGGTGTTTGGAGTTAGACACGGGTAGGTTGTTGAGGGTCGGTTCTGCTATTAGATACAATAATCTTCCCTCAGCCGCCCAATTTAAGTCCACTTCTTAACACCAACACTAAACATTACACAAGGAAAAATTTAAATTTGCAGTAAAAAATAAAAATAAAAATACACAACAGAATGGAATTAAACCATTTGATATAGAACCAAATTTAAACAAGTGAACATAGGGAAGTTTTACATTTGCTTAGAGTTATATTAAAATAAAATTACCCAGTGAGATGGGATTCAACTTATAATATAAAAAAAATTTAAAATGGAATTAATATTATAATTTATGTTTAGTACAGATGGTATTAGCACAGCAAGGTATGATTTAAATAAAAGAATAATCGTAAAAAATAAATCTAGGTTAAATATTTAAGTAGTTAGTATAATAATTGTAAACAGTGTAAAAGGTTATAGGTGGAGAGAAATGACTATATACATTTTTGTACGGGTGAGGGCGGATTACTTGCCGATTAATTGTTAAATATGAGTGAAAAATATAAGATAAAAACATTTTGAAGGCTTTGATAGTGCACACGAGGTTTGGGAAGGGTTGTATTGTTTAATAAGGGGTAAGACAAATGCCCCAGTGCAAGTGCTGCTCGTTGAGGTCGCTGTTAATGTAAGTGTTTGATTCAGGGTGTAATTGTGTTGTTTAATGTGAAATTAGTGTTCTGTGTATGTTTTTAGATGTAGTTAATTTTTGCCTCAACACGGGCACGCATGGCTGTAACTTTGGGGCATTTGTCTGAGTCGGCGCGGTGTAGAGTGCCGGTGTTGGTGTTGAATTGTTTGTTATGTTCTGCGCAATTGGTGCAGTTGTGTACTTCGGCCTTGCACTCCGCTGTAGGATGGTGAGCGGAGCACTTGGCGCATGTGGGTGTGGTGTTGGGGCAGCGGCTCTTTGTGTGTCCGAAATTTAGGCAGTTTTGACACTGCCTAAACGGTGAAAAGTTGTCACTGTGGACCCGCTGCATCCCTATGTTGACTCTGCCTAGGTCGGCAAACGCCTTCCAGGCAGAGGGTGTGGTGTTTAGCACTGCGTTATATAGTGAAGTGTTCCTGTTGTTAGCTATGAATTTGACGGTAAATGTATGTTTAGTTAAGGTGGTGTTTTGATCTTTAATTGTTTTTGTGAGTTCAAATTCAGGTATGTTTTTTGATATCCCTTTGAGAATAATCATAGGGTCTATCCGTTTCTCTTCTTGAGTTTGAATTTGTGTGTTTTTTTGTAGTTGATCGAGTGCATGTTTTTTGTGTTCTTCTTTTTCGAAAACGACTTTTATCTTTTGTTTTGAAAGCGGGGTGATCTTAAGTGGGGCGTATCCACCCTGTCTAAAGTTTACTGTTTTGCTTAATTGTGTAAGCAGTTGTTCGGCTGTGTTAAAACCCTCTCCGGAAACTACTATGGAAGGGCTTGCAGGGGGTTTGGGGGCGGCGGCGGCCGTTGCATAGGATGGATAGATCTTTTGCGGGTCCGACGCCACTGGCTGTGGTTTGGGAGATGCCTTTAGAACCCTGGTGTGCTCCTGCAAGACCTTATTGGAGTCCTCGAGTAGCCGAGAGTGGGCCTCGAGTTTTTGTAATAGTTGTGTAGTGTGAGTATCGGTTGAAGGTGAAGTTGTGGCTTTGGGTTGTGGTGTTGGTGGTGTTGGGGGTTTAGGAGGGGAAGGCGTGGAGGGGTCAATTAATGCGACGACCCCGAAAAGGCCTTCAATTGCCTCAGTAATGATAGTTTTAAGCTCGCCCTTGAGGTTACGTGAGGCGGCAAGAGCGTCGACGCCTTTTCGTCTATAATCTCTAGCCATTTCCATGTGTATGGACTCTTCCGGAAAGGAAGTGCTGTGTTTGCGCGTGAAGGATGGGCTTAAGGTGTCGACAAGGGCTCGCTTGGAAGCTGCTAAGGGCAAGTGGGGTGATGAAATGGCCGATTTGGTCGATTTTGGGGGGGGTTCGGGGTAGCATGTCTGCGCAGGGGGGTGAGGGGGGGCTAAAATATGGACAGGTGTGTACACCTCTTCGAGCTGAGTCGTTTGATACCCAACTCGAGGGGGTAGGGGTAGGGGGGAAGATTTTGTCTCGGTGGGGGGGGAAAAACCTGTATTGTGGGGTGGAGGGGGGTTTGTGAGAGGAACAATGTGCACTATCAAATAGAGCTCGCCGAGCCGGTTTAAATAAGCCCAAGCTCGACGGGCTTAGGATAATAATTTAAAAATATTGAAAATCTAAAAATATGGGGCTGGTAATCCACCCTACCTTGAGTTTTAGAGCAGGATTGCTCCACAGCTGTTGCTCGTAGGGCAGAGGTGCTTGTAGTTTTCTACTTGCCCTCGGAGAGGACAATCCAGTGGTTTTGATGCTGGAGCTGTTCCAGCTGGTCACCAGACAATCTGGTGTCCAGTTGGGTGGTTGGTAGAGTTTACTATCTTGAGAATAAGTGGTAAGGTGAAGTCAATTGCTGGCTATTTAATTGAAGTAGAATTGGATTTTTAGCTGGTGTGGTTCCTGTGGAAACCCTGGTCCTAAAGTTGTTTTGGGTCGTATCCTCTGAAGTATTTATCGGATCAGGTTAGGTTAGGTTAGGTTAGGTTTTTTTTTTTTTTTTTTTTTTATTATTGCTAGTGGGCCTACCTCCCCGGCGACTTACGTCCCGGGGCCGAGGAAGCTAAGCTTTAATAAGTTTTTCAGTACAATGTGTTTATTATTTATTTAACAAATATATTTAAATTGGACATGGGTTAGGTGGTTGAGGGTCAGTTTTGCTATTTGATACAATGACTTTCCCTCAACCACCTTGGTAGAGTCCGCGTCTTATAAACTAATTTCTTATAACTAAATTTACAAATTTTTATTAATATTTTAGGAGACTAATAATAATAAAATTTTAAGTGTAACTTTTATAAGTGAATCTGTTTACAATTTTGATTAAGTTACGTTAAAGTTTCTAAGCTAATACTATGCTAGCTAATCTATATTAATACAAAAATCGGTTAGGTTAGGTTAGGTTAGGTTAGGTTAGGTTAGGTTAGGTTAGGTTAGGTTAGGTTCCCCCCCTCCGCGGATGGATTTACCCGCGGCTCCTAGGCTTGTCGTGCCGGGGGGGCCCAGTACCTTGAGCGACCGCAGCAATGCCGTCGCAAAGGGGAAGCAAATAAGGAGGTTATACAGGCTGGCCTCAATCTTGGAGGCCAGTCTCTGGAGAGGGCATCAGCGCCCAGCGGAGACGAGTCCGCTAGTCCCTGGCAAGCTGGAGAGATCATTTGATCTCAAAGGTGAGGCTGAGGGACCTTTGCTTTGTGCGGGAGGTGACTGGGGAGGGGGTCCATTTCGTTGCGCTGCTGCGCGCTTGTCTCTGGGCCTCGGCTGCTCTCGACTCTTTCTTTCGGGAACCATGCGAGATGCGGTGTACTGAAACTAGTTGAGTTTTCTATCAGCTGCTGCGTTGCAGCGTGGTAAGGTGATGGATACATCACGGCACTAAGTGGTTGTGATGGATCCGTGGCGCGGCGGGCCGTGACGGCGCTGTGTCGTCGTCGGTCAGGGGTCTCGACCCCCGCCGGGCAAACTGGTACTTCGTGCAATTGTCGTGGTCATGTCTCGCGGATCGCACCTTGCCAGTGGGCTTGCCTTAACCGGCCGGTCCGAGTGGAAGGAAAACCACAATAAAAATCCCTGAATGTGCACGCGTTGTGGCGCCTTTTGAGGCCTCGCGTGACGCTGCACCCCCGCTCTCCCGAAGGGTAAGCGGGTCGTTCGATCAGTAAAGTCGAGCTCCTAGCGGCCAACCCTTGGATAATTCCCGACCTCCAAGCGGTATTAGGGTTACTCGGGTGCAGGGGTCTCCGCCCGGGTGGACGTTTTATATCCCCCATGTACCTACACCATATATGGAAAACAAATGTCAAAACAAAACCAACTTAGAAGTAGAAGGAGAAGGAGATGTTACGGAGAAGAGGAGAAAAGAGGAAAAGCAGGAAAGTATAGAGAAGACGAGAGAGCTGCGAGTTGTTCTGGATCGATTGCCGATCCCAGACACATTTACAACAATTGAGGAAATCGCTACGGCGCGGATATCTGAGTCGGATACCGAGTCGATGGTTAGTGTATCCACGCCATCGGCGAGTCGAGTCGGTTCACTGGACCGGGAGTCACCTGGCCGTTTTTGGAGCTGCAGATCAGCTCCCAAGAGAGGTAGAGAAGAGAGCGAGGGTAGTTCCACAGTCACCCCCGGCTCCAAGGGCCGGAAAAAGAAAGGACGAGTCAAGCCACCCACAACGGGAGAATACGTTGGCCTCGCCACTGCAGAAGCCTACCGTAAGGCGCAGCGAGAAGAGAAGAGAACACGCGCTGAGGCCGAGATACTGGACTCAGTTGCGGAGGCTCGCAAGACCCGATCGGCATTGTCGCTATCGGAGAATGAAGAGTGTACCCTCTACGAAGGAGACAGATCGGACACGACAGCCACCGTATTAAAACGGATGGAGGCCAGTCTCGAAGTGGTAACAAAAGTTGCCACTAAATCGAGCAACCTAAAGGGCGGCTTCGTTCAAGCCCTCAAACAAGCCGTCCTTGACATAAGAAAGGATGCAGCTGCGCTCGCACAGAAAACGATTTCAGAAGAGACGCGTGCGCTACGCGCGGACAATGAGCGTCTCCATCGTGAAATAGATGAGCTCAAGAAGCGAATGGAGACGCAGATGCCGGGCCTCGTAGAGATGGAAGCCCGTATCTACCGGAATCTCGGGGAAAGGCTCAACGCACGCCTTGAGGACCTGGAGCCAAGGCTCAATCCCGCGCAACGAGTCCGTCCCCCGCTCGCGGCTGATATAGCCACGAAAGGCAGAGCCGAAGCAGTTGCTTCAATCCCAGCAACTGCCCGACAGGCCCCAGAAATGAAGAAAAATAAGAAGAAGAAAGCCAAAGCATCTGGCGAGAGCAGTAAGAGCGTGCCCGTACCAGAAGTGCCCTCTACGTCCGCCACCGTTACGCTCCCTACAAACCTAGGCGTTAAGAGTCGAGATGGCGAGAGCGCATGGGTTGTAGTTGGCAAACGAGGTAAGGAAGTCAAAGACCTGCCGACCTCGCCGAGAGCGCGCCAAGCACGCGCTAGTTCGAAGACTAGCCCGAAGAAGAAGGCGTCACCAAAGCTCCGGGTGACACGTTCTGCAGCCGTGAGCATTACATTAACAAAAGAGGCCGAGCAGCAGGGACTCACCTACGCCGACATTATGAAGGAAGCGAGGCAAAAGATCGACCTCAATGGCCTCGGATTAGAGGCGATCAAGTTCCGCCGTGGAGTGACCGGGGCCGCGATACTACAAATTCCCGGTACTGGGAGGACGGTGTCGCCAACTCTCTCGCGGACAAATTAAGGGAGGCACTGCCCGCAGAAAGCGTTAGAGTGGCTAGACCTCAAAAAGTGACGAGCGTCCGGATATCTGGACTAGATGACTCAGTCACGGCCGAGGAAATCCGTCATGCGGTATCGGCAAAAGGAGAGTGCCCCACAGATCAAATTCGGGTGAGTGGAGTCCGCCCGGACAGAAGTGGGCTCTCCGCGGCGTGGGTGACGTGTCCGATCATAGCTGCAAAGAAGCTGGCCGAAGGGAGGCTGCTCGTCGGATGGGTGGCGGCGCGTGTCGCCGTCCAGATGCCCAGAGAGCTACGCTGCTACAGGTGCCTGGAGAAGGGACATGTAGCGGTCCGATGCACGGCGGAAGACCGCAGCCTACAATGCTACAGATGCGGAATAGTCGGCCATAAAGCGGCAGAATGCACGGGAAAGACCCAGTGCACCATTTGTGCGGCATCCGGTAGGAAGGCCGATCATCGTTTGGGAGGTCTCTTATGCTCGGCCCCCAAAAAGAGGATGTCTAAGAGAGTGCCCTCACCGAAGGCACCCCATCCCAACCCGAGCGGGGATAACTTTATGGAGACGGACGGGGCCGTAGCCAACTGATATGGTCTTCAATTTCCTACAGGCGAACATTAACCACTGCGCCGCCGCTCAGGATTTGCTGGTGCAGAGCGTGGCGGAGTGGTCCATAGACGTAGGCGTCATTGGCGAACCGTATGCGGCACCTGATCGCCCAAACTGGGTCTCGGATCGCTGTGGTCTGGTCTCTCTCGTTGCTGCCGGCAATGCAGAGTACCACCTCAGGGACGTTTCGAGGGGGGACGGCTGGGTAGCGGCCAGCTTGGGCCAGCAGAAAGTTGTAGCGGTTTATTTCTCTCCAAATAAACCAATCAGCGAATTCGAGTCCTTTCTGGCTAGCATGGATAGCATTGTAAGGCAAGGTGCACCTGGAGGGGTCTTGGTTGCCGGAGACCTGAACGCGAAGTCTGCGGCGTGGGGTTCCCCAGTTAGAAATTGCCGCGGGGACGTGCTAGTTGAATGGTTGGCATCCTGCAACCTCGTCGTACTGAATGTCGGCTCGGAATGGACGTGTTGCAGAGAATCAGGAGCTTCAGTGGTTGATGTGACCTTTGCAACCCCCGCCCTTGCGTGTCGCGTACGGGATTGGAGAGTGGAGACGGGGGCGGAAACGCTCTCCGACCATCGTTATATACGTTTCAGCGTTCACCCCCCCTCGTCGTCGGTGCCTCCCGTCCGGCAGGGAGCACCGCGTGAGATAGGCCCTAGATGGGCTTTAAAAGCTCTAAACAGAGAAGACTTGGAGGTAGCAGCTGTGGTGAGCTCCTGGTGTCCTGCCGCCGGAGCTCGGAGTATTGACGAGAAAGTGGCTTCGCTGGAAGAGGCTTGGAAAGAGATATCGGATGCCTCGATGCCTAGATCCCAGCGTCCTACTGTTCG